CTGGCAGACTTTTCAAATAATAGGATAATTTTTACAAATGTGCATGGTCTCTGGAATTTTTTCAAATAAATCCAACATGTCTATTTAAAGGCAATATGTTCCTCTCTTCCTATTCTCCCCAATATTTTCCCCCTATTAATATGGACACACCAACAAAGATTGACAAAAAATCTATAAGTTCATGAGGACTTCAGAAATGGTTTAATAAGTTCACATGAGGGTAGATCACACACTTCCTTGTGATAGAGCATTAACTTCCTATTAGAATTTATCCACTGAAATATCTTGATTTCAAGTTTTTATTGGTATAATTAAGCAAAATAGTGTCTTTCTTTATTCACTATCTTTTATTTCCTTTTTCACTCCTTTGGCCAGCCTGGCCAACCTTGGATCCAGGACAAAGGTCAATTAATTAATAAGCATCTATTAAATACCTATTGTGTTACTGTGTTAATGGCAATATTATCAGTCACTATTCTAGGCACTAGGATACAAAGGATATAAACAAAGCAGGCCCTATTTTCAAGTAGCTTACAGTCTGTCTGGGAAACAATATATGCACGTAAGTAGATATGAAATAAATACAAAGTAAACATAAGATAATGAGTACAGAACTAGTAGCTGGAGAAGGGAGGGCAGTCAGGAAAGGCCTCATATAGGACGTGGCATTGGAGCTAAATTTTAAAGGAAACTAGGTATTTTTAAGAGGCAAAGGTAAGGAAAAAGAGTATTTCAAGCATAGGGACAAATGTAGGAAGAGTCAGAAGGATGGAACTGTGGGAGAGAGGATATGGAGAGAGGACAGTTTAGATTGTAGTGTGTATGAAGGAGATAAGACTGAGGCATAGTTAAGTTTATAAAGCAAGTCTACAGTCAGACTATAAAGGACTTTAAAAGCCAACTAGAGATGCTGGTCTTTAATCCCACAGAAAATAAAGAGCCCCTAGGGCCTACTGAGCAAGGGGAATAATGTAATCAGAATTGTGCTTTAGGAATAACAATTTGGCATTCCACTGTGGATAATGGATTGGACAGGGAAGAGACTGAAGGGAGAAAGATCACTAAGGAGGCTATTGTAATAGTGCAGGTGAAAGATGAGTCTCAACTAGGATAGCATCTTAGTCACTGTAGAGGAGACTGATGTAAGAGATATCAAAAAAGGTAGAATGAACCAGATTTGGCAACTGATTGGATAATGACGGTAGAGAATAATTTTGAGATGTGAACCTGGGTGTACCTGAGGATGTCGCTGTCCTGTACATAGGAAGGAGGAGGAAAGACTCTGGGAGAAAGATAATGAGTTCTATTTTGTACTTGTTAATTGAAGAGTAGAGGTTCAGTTTATTTTAGTCATCATTTAGTGTCAGTCTGAGGAGACAAAATAATCCCTAGTTAGGTGCTGATTTTGACAACACAATTACTTTAGTTAACACTTTACAATCTAGTTGAATAAATGTCTTTTAAATCAAAAAAGTTATCACTCGGAGGTGATAAACACAGTAAGCTGGGTGGAAACACTCACAACACCTATCGAATGAATTCAAAGCACTATGCAGGTCAGAGGGAAATACCCAGTTTAGATAACAAATACTCTCTACCTAATGGAACTTAACTGTCTAAGAAAGGGGATTAGGACTCAATCCCAGATTTGAGTGCAAGGAACTACCAGAATAAGGATACTCCTTTTCTCTATGAAGGTTTCTACCTTTTCTGCAACAAATCTTAGAGAGTTGCCTAGAGCACTGAGAATTTGTTGTTTGGTCATTTCAGTCCTGTCTGACTCTTCATGACCTCTTTTGGGGTTTTCTTGGTAAATATACTGGAGTGGTTTGCCATGTCCTTCTCCATCTCATTTTACAGATGAGGAAACTGAGACAAACAGGGTTAAGTGACTTGCTCAGTGTCACACAGTAAACGTCTACGGCCATATCTGAATCTACTGTGCCACCTAGCTACCACAGCCACCTAGGACCTGCAGGGTGTGGCTCACACAGCCAATTTGTGTCAGAAGCAGATCTTAAATCTTTTGTGGTGCCCACAGGGGGCACGACACAAAACTATAATAACGTCTACCTCAGAGTTACTTAGATATTCAGTTATTATTTTGTTTTTTCTCTGGGAGGTGATGCTCTGGAGGAGCTTGACAATGATCTAGCTCCTAAATTCAGGGGGAAAGATCATGAGTTCAGTTTTGGACACACTGAGTCAAAATGTCCATCCAGTTTAAAATGCCCAAGAATCATCTGATGATTCATGACTAAGCTCAAGAGAGACTGTGTCTAGATGTGTGTGTATAAATCTGGAAGTCATCTACATCGAGACAGTTAAACATACTGTAGCTGACAAGGATATAAAAAGAATATAAAGGGAGAAGTAAACAGTCTATAACAGTACCTTGGACAGAACACTTAAATCCTCCCCCTCCTGAAACTTCCCTATCTCTGTCAAAGATGCCATAATCCTTCTAGTCCCCCAGATTCTTTGCCAAATCTTTCCATTTCTATCTTCACACCGCCTCTTGTATCTGCATCTCTCCATTCACATAGCTACCTGCTTTTCACCTCTTACCTAGCCTTTTAAGATAGCGTCCTAAATGGTCTCTCATAACTCTAGTACATCCTCTACGTACTATTGCCAAAGTAATTTTCCTTAAAAGCAAATGAGATTATGTGATTTCCCTACTCAAACTCCAGTGCCTTTATACTGCCTCTTGGATAAAGACCTCTCTCTCTCTTCTTTAAGATGCTGCTCAAGCATCATCTTCTACATGAAATCTTTACTTATCCACCCAACTGCTACAGCCCTAACACCTCCCAAATGAATTTGTAAATATTTGTATTTATTAACTGTATACCGTCCAAGTGTATATATGTGTGTGTATGTACACACACACACACACACACACACACACACACACACACACACACCCCTCCTCAATTGGAATGTAAGCTATTTTCATGTAGGGATTACTTCATTTTTTTTGTATTTGCATCCTCAGCACCTAGCACAGTGCTTGGGACACAGCAGGTACTTAATACTTGCTAACTGACTTGAGTGATAGGAAATCTTAAGGAAAAGTCCAGTTATCCTGGCTTTTTCCTGCAGTCAAAAGAAAGCAGTATAATATGGAGCAGGGCACTTCAGTGATTGAGATCAGGTTTAAGAAGAAATCGTGAACAGGAGGATATTCCATAAGACGTAAAATAATATGTACCAATAGTAGAAATGTTTGTAAAGGATTACTCTCAGTAACTTGGCTTTGATTAAGGTTGTGAATGTGAGGGAAAACTAGCAAAATAAATTCTATACTATAATCACTGTATAGTACATATTTGGTTATCTAACATCCTCCTCTCCTGCCATGCGCTCCCCACCATTCCCAAAATACAAACTATACTAAGAAAAGAAATCATATCTTAATGATGATCTTTAAAATGAAAGGTATGGACCAGATTATCTCTACAGTCCCCTTTGGCTCTAAATCCTATGATCTTTTTCTCATCCCACGACAAAGCACAGTGAAAGTACTTAATGTATGGTTGTTGAATGATGTCTTGATGGTTAGACATAATCTATTAAAAGATAAAAATAAATTCAGAGCAAATATATAATGACAGTGTCATGTCATGGAAAGAACATTGGACTAAGTAGTCAGAAAACTGAGTTCAAAGAATTGCTCACCACTTACTAGTTAGTAGGCACAACATTAAGACCATACCCATCAATGGTTATATAAGGATAAGGAGGAATCTTTCTAGTCCTGGTTATCAAACTCATGTGAGCATGAGGAAATTAATCTGGCACATTCCACTGGCAAAATGCAAACTCAGTATTAATGATTTCATGTAGGGAACCATTTTGGGAGAGGAAAATGTGTACTTAAGAACATGTTAAAGTTGCAATATAGTTTTGAAATTATTTGCAAATAGTAGAAGGGAAGGAAAGCTTTTTTCATTTTAAAACAACCTCCAGCAGATATTTCACCCTAAGAATAGCATAATTAACTAAGTCAGCCTGTACATCTATGCATGAGCACTAACATTTTATAGCTGGTTGTGGTGTTCTGAATTTGCTGTGGGAAATGACCTTCAGAAAGTTCATCCCCTCCGACCTTAATTTGTGTCCTAGGATTTCTTTTGTGTATAAAATGAAAAATGTAAAATGCTCAGTTAAGCATTTCATAAAATTGGAGCTCAAGAATGCAGTCAATGCTAGACATTCTAAAACTCAGAAATTAGTCCTGGAATAATTAGGGCTCTACTACCTCTACAAAATTATTATGACCCATAAGCTTATTTAGGTCATTTCTGTTGCTCTCTTATTACCCAGAAAAGAAAGCACAGATTACAGACAACCAAATGCTGACTGCTTTCTTAGTCCAACATAGGACTTTAGTGCTCAATTTTTAGGATTTTTTTCCCCCACTGACATTCCCTGAAATACTGAGACAGAAAATAAGAGGTCAAGAATTCAAATAACCAAAGTAATGATCAATATAATCTTTTTGTAAAATAAGAGTTACCAATGGTCTACTAGGTAACTATTAATCTCACTTTGAAATAATCTAAAAATGTGAACTATTCAGAAGTAAACAAAACTGCAATTATATAGTCAGACAAGGGTATATGAGAACAATCATGTATTACATTTACCAGTATTATCATTAAACTTGATTCCTTCTACAATTTAAGCTGTAAGCAGAAGCTATATTTAAAAGATTCAACAAGTACATGAACACAGTGAAGAGAAACTAAGTAATATAAACTTGAAAAATATTATACATTAATTGTAATTAGTATTAAAATATGCATTAATAAGCTAAAGATTTAGGATTCAATACTGAAATTTGTACCCAAATCAACTGTGAAATCGCCATACCTTGTAGGTATAACACAGCTAAGTTTGAAAGCAAAAAAAACCAGAACTAGAGTAAATAATCACAACACTGATCAAAAGCCCAATGAGAAGTAATTATACTATAGCGAATGTAAGTGAATTACCTCGTCTTCGCCCATAACTCCTCGCTGCATGTAAACAAAGGACAAATTGTAAAATGTCAGAACTAAACATGCCCACATATGAAAATATTTGCGATAAGAAAAAAACTATGTGGGTTGCTGAAATTAGAGCTACTTTGTTTCAGGAATTACAGTATTTAATTATAGTTAGTAAGTCACACCCTAAATTTCCTTTTTTTTTCTTTCTTCTTTTAAGTCAACTGGAAAGTTGACTGACAATGTAAAATAAATTCTAGATACCATTTTCCTAAAAAGTGAGAACACCTTGAATTAAGTTCTTAGTTTCTGAATGAGTCTTCTATCTGATAAAATAGGTATATAATAACATACCTATAGCAATAAAATAGGTGTATAATAAATACCTATCATCATAAGGGTGACCATTAGGTGATGTAACTTTTTTGGCTTCAGCAGTTCAAAGACCATGTAAGGTATGAAGGAGCTGCAACCTTTATCACTGGAGTAATCATCTACATTAATGAAAATCAGGGATCCTGTGAGGTAAGGGATAAATAATACAGCTGTTTATAATCAGATCGATCAAAAGTTGGTATATACTATAGATAATTTCAAAAATTGTGTTCAGTTATCTACATAGCCACTATGACTCTAGTCCTTCTTGAAATGGGAGCCTGAAAGTTTAACATAGTAGAAATGAGGACATATTCCAATGCATAAACTGACTATAAATCTCTAGAGGCAGTAAGGATCCCCTTTAACAGCCTGGGGAAGCCTATGGACCCCTTCTCAGAATGTTTTAAAAGGAGCAAAAAAGAACGTAGAATTACAAAGAAAACCAATCATATTGAAATACAGTTATAAAAAAAGAACAACGTTCCCCACTCCCCACCCCCACCCAGTTCACAGATTCTATAGGAAGAACTTTTATTCTAGAGTAAGGACACCAAATTAAAAGTTTAAGAACTCTAGCTTTTTTCATCGTTCCAACAGAATATATAAATGGGGAAAAGGTAAGTAAAAAGGAGATTATATTCTAAGAAACCAGTCTAATCAATCCTATGTGATTGTACAAGCATGGTGGGTGTATACAAATTCTTGTGTATACCACAGAGATACATGCAAAAATGCATGTAACCAGTTATGCCCTATTGTTTTCTAAAGCAGATATTCCAGTCTTTGTAGAATGAATTTTGTACTATTTCTTGCAGGGTATTACAATAATAGATGCTGAAATCTTTGATCTTTTCTACAGAAAACACTGGCTAAAGGAATTTGTTTTGCATGACTATATATAATTTATAATGGGTTTTGTTTTTCTTGCTTTCTCAATGAGTTGGGGAGGAAGAAAATATGAAACTGAAAATAAAATTGAATTTCCCCCACAAAAAAAAATGCACTGGTTGAAAATTACTCACCAGTTGTTTTAAACAAAGACTCCTGGTGGTAACAAAAAAATATGGGTGTAAATCAAATATTCTTATACTAGGAACACTTCATGACATCAATGACATAACAAATGAAAGAATACTATTAAAATCAAGATTTCCTCCATCTTCATTTTCAGGAAGAACTTTTGCTACTGGTTAAACATTAAGTAAAAAACAGATAAAAGATCTCTGAAAATATTCTTTAGAAAAATGGTAGATTATGTTAAAATACAAAGCCAATAAAATATTCTCATATGAACAAATACATATTCTCTTACAGAATGTAAAACAGCTATTTTAATCCTTGATTTCAGACTTTTAATATAAAGAAACTATTTCAAGAGGTAAGAATATAAGATAGCATTGGTTTCTCTAGAACAACTAAAAAACAGCCTGATCATCAAAACAGCATTTAATTTTTTCAATTATAATCAATTATTTCTTCAAAAAAGAGGAATATCAATCACTTGGGCTTATGATTTTATACAGGAAACTTCCAGTGAGGAGATGTCCTTTACCAATGGAAACAGACTTTACCAAGAGATAAGAGAGTTACACAGGCCCAAGAGGTTAAATGACTTATGAAGGGTACAAAGCCAGGATGTATGTTCAAAAGTAGGATTTTCTTGGCTTTAAGCCCAGCTAGTTACAACCTAAGCCCCACTACTACCTCTCATATAAAACAGCCATCAAATGAAAGATAAAGTAATAATTTATATCTGTATGGTATCATCTAGCACCTTCACATAAATCAACTCATTTATTCTTTTGAACAGGTTTTTTTTTTTGAGTCAGGTAGGCATGAAAGTTGCTATCTTCATTTTTTCAGATGAAGAAACCAAGGATAAACAAGATTAAACAGTAGTCACACAACTAACTTGGGTAGTGAGGTGTCTTAGACTCCTTTTACAAAGCTCTTTCCACATTACCATACTGCCTCCCAAACAAAAAACTTACTTTAAGTTTTCATCAATTCCATTTACGTTTATGCCAGTTTCCTTACTTGGCAACAAAACTACTTCACACTTTATCTGGTTCCTGGGTGACTTTTGCATAAAACTGGGCAGGATCACTCCTTACATTATATATAACTTATATTTAGTTAATGTTGCTTGAAGGGGAGAGGCTCTGGGATGTGACTGATAAGATATCAGATTGTTAGAGGGTAAAAGGCTAGAAGAGGCAGCTTTTTTTCTAATCTGGACAGCGCTAGGGAGAGGAACCCCAGACACTGGTAAACTGCTGGGTTTACAGGAAAGTCAGTGATGAACCAGGGGAGAGAAGGAAGGAAGGTCCTTGAACTCTTCTAGATTCCTACCTACTCCTATTCTAATTCATCCTTTAAGATTAGAATGCTACTCGATAGTACCTGGATAGAGCTCTGGGCCCTGAGTTGGGAAGCTGTGAGTTCAAATTTGACCTCTAACACTTATCTGTGTTATCCTAAGAAAGTCACTTAACCTTGATTCACTCCAGTTTCCTTGTCTGTAAAATGGGGTAATAATAGCATCCACTTCACAGGTTTGCTGTGATGATCAGAGATAATATTTGTAAAGTGCTTAGCACAGTGCCTGGCATATAGCAGGAGTTTGGTGCTTGTTTCTCCCCTCCCCCAATAGCCCACCCTTCTTAGGGACCCACAGAGGGACAAGGGGGAAAAATAACTGTCTCTATTCATTTTTCTAATGTCCTAAATACACATGCATATGCCTAATTGGGGGGGGGGGAGAAACAAAAACAAAAACCTTACTTGATAGATGGGCAAGATAGAAGAAGCAGATCACAGTTTTTCAAGTAGCAAAGTCAATCCTAATAAACATATGGGTCTTAACAAAGATAACTACAAGAAAAGGTTGATACAAAATAATGTCTTAATGACTGTGTTACAAGTTCCAGACTTGGCCCTGGGTCCTCTAAGCAGTGGCAGTTTGCTTTGAATGAAGTAGTAAGGAGTAACCACTGTGATCTAAATTTGAATGTTCAAGATTCTTCCCAGGGGTTAGGTTCCATTCTTATCTCCAAAGCCAGGCAATCTAAACTATCCCAGAATGATTTAGCATTCCAGAGTCTAAGTTAAATTTAGGAAAGGCACTAGATAGCAGGTGGAACCTGGATTATTCATACTACATATGTTCTTTGTTCCTCAATTTTGAATGTTGAATTGTCATGAAGACATGGACAGGAATCACAATTCTAGGATCATGGTGAAAATTTATGGCATCATAGCCAGTTCATATCAGGATGATTGCACATTCTATCCGATTTGTCAATTATACACAAACCAAGATGGGGATATTAAATAACGCAGTAAGCGTATTTAAATAAGTGTCATAATAATTTGTGGCTTAAAACCTATGAATCTGGGGGTTTTTATTTCTAGATTCCTTGCACTTGAAAAATTTTGAGTATTTACAATGAACAACTATTACATTTGCTTATTTAGTCAACATTTAAGACTATTTCAGAAAATAACATTCATTACAGATCAAATTAAATCATGCAAAATAATTCCTATATGGGCTGCCACTTCCACTCCACTGCTACCACCAGTGAAGTACTCATTAATCTAGCAGTGTCACTAACTGGTTTTTCTATAAGAACTTTTAAGTTATGTTGTCTAATTTATGATAAAAATGCACCTAAATTACAGAAAGCCCAATTAAGAAAATCTTTTTACAAAAGGTTATAGGGTGAACATCTGTTTTATAGATGGATTTAAGCTCACTTTACATGATCCAAATACTTAGGTGTTTTAATTTACAAAATTTCAATCAATATCAAATTTCAGAAACAAATCTACTGTGTAAAAGAAGCTACAACTTTCTTTCTACAAAAAAAATACCTTTTTTTGGTTAGTATTTTTTTTTAAGAATAAGCTGTTTGCTTCCCTGTATATGGTGGTATTGAGGGGGGTGGTGGTAGTAGTAGTAGCAGTAACAGCAGCAGCAGTAGTAGCAACCAGCATTTATGCGATAGTTTATGGTTTGTAAGGTAATTTAACCCACACAACAAAGTAGGTAATAAAATAATAGTCCTCATTTTACAGATGAGAGAACTGAGGCAGATAGAGGTTAAATAACTTGCCCAGGGTCACACAGCTAGTATGAGGTTGAATTTGAACTCATGTCTAACTCCAAGTCCCATCCTCTTTCCATTGCAGCATCTAGCTGCCTTCATGCTCTCATTTTAAAAGTTTAACTATTTGTGATGGAAAACTTCCTAAACAGATTAGGCCTCTCTACTTTCTTTAACAGAGCACTCAAACTCCTCTTCATAATCTTACAGAAATCAATTATTTTACTATACAGGGATGCCACAGGGGTTGAACCACATAGGGTTAACATCTACACTAAATGGCTACAACACAGGTATGCTGGAGAGGCATGGCATTACAAGGAAAGAGATCCACAGATGGAAATCAAAAGATCTGGTTTAATCTTAGACTCTATCCTTAATTAGTTGTGTGACACTGGTTAAATAGAAGCTGTTTCTTTGCTTGTAAAATAAGTATAATGGGGATGAGGCTCAAATTCAAAAGTAATTTTTAAGTTGTAAAATTTTGGACTCTGGGGGGGGGCAGGGGCGGGGGAGGCGGCATGTTCTGGCTCCTTAAGCTGTCAGTTATCACTTCCCCGCTGCTGCCAAACCACTTCTTATCCTTCTAGTTATTGCCTCTAATTTGCTGTACCTTGGGGAGCGAAACTTATTGAGTGTATACACTTTGGATTGAGGGCCTAAAAGGCTTCTGTTAGTAAAAGACTTGAATTTAGGGCATTACTGTATGGCTTTTTTTGGGGGGGTGGGGTGGGGGGAGGCCGGATGGGAAGGTGTGGGAGGTGCAAGGGTGGTTGGGAGCAGAATAGCACTATGTCAAAGTTCTCTGGTAGATTCTAGAGAAGTAAAGATTAATATTACTGTGCATCACTGTTTATGTAGCTGTCAAGGTAAATAGTGAGTATTTACTGAAGCAGGTTATGAAAATAGCCCATGCAATTTCAGAAAATAATCATTAGCCTAACAAAAAATAAAACCTGCTGCAAGATCCTTAAGGATCTCAGAATTAAACTGAACATCTATTATATGTGAATTGAACCAAAAACAAATTTTAATTACCATTCCACTGTTCATTTCCCTTTTACTGTCCTTTAGAACCGTGATTTCCTCTAAGTAGGAAATTTCTCTGTATATAAATTCCCTCCAAGGATTAATTTACAGCTTATAGCCTAAAAGAGTTGCTCCAGGGCACTAAGAGGTTAAGTGATCATGACCACGCATCTAATATATGTCAGAGGAAGGACACAGGACATTCAGGTCTTCCTAGGCAGATAGCAGTTATAACTAAAGTCTTCAAGAAAAAAGTAATATTGATAACAATTATTTACTATTTTCAAGGTTGTTATAGTAAGATTTAAACACTAATGTATGGGGGGAAGGGAATAAGCAATTATTAAGTGCCTACTAAGTGCCAGGAACTGTGCTAATAAGCACTTTATAAATAGTAGTACAGAAAACTTAAATAAGTGCTCCTCCTTCTACTTGGGTTAATTCTCTCATTTACAAGGATTTGCAAGGAACTATTTCTTCTCTTCTGATTTGTCTCACAAATGTTCAAGTCAGTTCTTACTGATAACATGTCAGTTATCTACTGTGAAATTTTCCAGTGATAATCTACAATCAGACTTCTTCAACCAAAGGCAAAAGATTTGGAAACAAAGAAAACCAGGTTAGATGTGAAATTGCTACCTGTGTGGTCTTAAAAAAAAATCACTTACTCTTTTGGGCCTTTAAGGCTCCTTGAAGCTGGACTAAATGATCTCTAAGATTCCTTCCAGTTCTAAAATATGATTCTTTTGAAAAGCTGGAATATTTCTGAACTGCCTAAATTCCCCCATGGAATGGCATTTTACACACACATGCATGCATGCACACATGCACAATCATCAACAATCTTGAATTTTTGAAAGCATATTATCTATTCCTGTGAGAAATAACAGTTGGAAGGGTGAAGTGACAGCAAATATCCTTCCCACGAAGCTCAAGAGAATAACTCTTGACTAGACATCATTAAACTTCATAGTCACTCAAGTTTTCAGCATCTTTATGTTAAAAACAAAAACAACTCTTAAATATTCAATTTATTCTGGATATGGAACCAGAATTTCTGAGCTAGAATAAGTGCAATAATTGATCATGCTTCAGGGTTTAAAAAGTTCTTTTCCCACAACAACCCTATGAAGTACATATCAGGAGAATTATTTTCCCTACTGGATCAGTGAGGCCCAAAAGCTAAGTGATTTCCCTTTGGATTTCCAAGTGATTAGTCCGAGCCAGAATCTGAACCCAGGTCTCCCCATTACAAAGCCCCAGTTGTTTCCTCTACCCTGTGCCCAATCCCCCATTCAACAAGAAGCCACTTCCAAAGCATTTATGACCCTCTCCTCCAAAAAAGGGAAAATTACTTCTTAATGAAACAGCCTGGTCCAATGTTAGAAAGCTCTTTTTCATAGTTTTTCCATGTTAGGCTGAAATCTTCACCTTAGTAATTTATAATTATTGCTCCTCATCTGCCCTTCTGGGATAACATATAATGACTATCCTTCTGTATCCTTCATTTATGATAAAATTTTAGACACCTGAAGATAGCTACAATGTATTGCCTTAGTCTCTCTTAAATTCTTCCAATCATTCCTCCTGAGATATTATTTCTAGATTTCTTTATCTTTTTATACAATGAAAATGAGTGCTCTAGTCAGCAATACAGTCTTTTAATTATATTAATTTAGATAAGATTCAAGCTTCTAGCCTTGCTATTTATTTCAATTCAATATAGGTTATAGCTTTTATTTTTAAAAGAAAACAAAATATAAATTTAAGAGATTGGTGACTCACTGGGTATGCAGCTAATATGTAATATTTCTATGTACCATAAGTGACAGTTTTTTAAAGTCAATATTCAGTAAATGTCTACTACAGACAGAATATGGTACAAATACCACTTATTATCTTCATTGCAAAACAAAATATAATGAAAATAATCACATGTGGACTTAAAAACTTAAAAAAAATTTATCTCCCAACCTCCTTCTAAGCCCCTTCCTTGACTTCTTCACTTTTCTTAACAACCTTGATTTCTTGACTTCAAATTTTCAGATACTAGCTGTCTAACCTCCTCTTCCCCCTATTCAGCCAAGCTTATTACATTTCCTGATTACTGCTATATCAGCCCTCAAAATTGATTTCTTTCAAAACACAGAGGAGTTTTACTTCCTTACAATCGAATTTTGATTTCCTACTTTTCAGCACCTATTTTCCCACTTTAAGTTTAAAGTGATCTAACATTTCTAGGTTTGCCTACTCTTATAAATGCAGTACTAATTTGCCTGCTCAAACTGAGTAGAGGGAAAGTATTTAAAGGCGACAGAGGGTATCACTGGGAAAGAAAAATGGTCCTTAAAATGTATATCTTGTTTTGAAGTTTAACTAAAAAAAAAAAATTATTTGCCATAAGGGAGAGGAGATGGGGAAGAGATGAAAGAGGGAAATTTAAGTGAGTTAAAAACAAGGTACCAATAAAAATATATTTTCAAAAAGTTTACTAAAACACATGGTAGAACACTCTACCAATGCTAGCTCATGTCACAAACTTGTTTACAAATGTTTGCAACTATTAGTAAAATCACCACTTAAGAGTTTTTTATTATATTTGTTGTTAGCAATTACATTTGAGGTTACCAAAAAAGGAAGTTTTTAAAAAGTAATATAATTATTACTCTTAAATTAAAATGTATATACCAGTCAAATATTTTACATTTTAATGCACATTTGTGATCATACTGGTTTGTTAAAAATTTGACATCTTTTTTTGTCAGTGGAAAAAAAAAACATTCTGTAGGTAACTTTCCTTCCAAAGAACATGCTAATTAATATATTTAATATTTAATATATATCATAAAACTTAACCATTTTTTTAAAAGTCAAAATAAAAATTTGAATCATGTATCTTGAAGTATTTGAATACCACAAAGGACTTAAGAAGTAATGCAGAAATTTAACAGAGAAATTATTGCTTAATCTCCTAATAACAGCTATTTTATAATCCAAAAACTGTAGGACATAAGTGAAAACTACCATTTTAAAACTATTCTAAACATATAACCATATTAATAATTATAAAAAGAACTTAGAATTCCTCCCTGTCCCATCCTCCCTATCAAAAATTTCCTAACAAAATATCCTTTCATGTATGTAGGTCAAAATATAACAATACACTGCTTTTTAAGTCAAGGTTTTAGAGTTCTGGACCCATGCTACTAGTTGACAAATTACTTGAGAAAGTATGCTTTAATTTCCCCCAGGAGTGGGAAAGGGTTGGAGTGAGCAACATGGTAGATTTCACCATCTCTGGTGAATTCTAACTCCTTAAGTATATGCAAATAATAAATAAATGAATTCTAAGTGTAGTCCACTTCCCTGAATACTATATCAAACAACTTCACTGGCTCTAGGTACAAACATCTGAGTGACTGATTAACTGCAACACTATGACCTTTAAAATGATTCCCCCATATGCTTAGAGTTCCTCCCTCAATCAGTCTTTCAATTAATTCCTGTTCTACCACTTTGCCTCTCTCCAAAAGACTATTATATATAGCATCTCTTGATTCAGACCAGACAGTAGCTCCACGCCCCTGCTTTACCGATTTCCCACTTCTACAAGCCTAGCTAACATGGATTAATTGTAACCTTCTTTGCTTTTGATGTCCAATCCATTTCTATTTTATAACATCTTTAGCAGAAAGAAACTGAAGTCTTAGTTTAGCTGTAATGCTTGGAATTCTTGAAATAATTTCCATTCAGATCACTTGTCTTTTCTCCTTTGTGAAACACTCATCTTTTTTCAGAATTATCATTTCAGAATGTACATCCATATTCTGATCTCTACATTCCACTACATTCCTACAACTAATTATTGAGCACATATGCATCTTTGAATACATACTAAGTAATACGGTAAATGCTTATCTACTAGGAACAATTTCAACAAAAGACTTTTTATATTATTCCATGTCTGGTAAGTATGATTATTGAATCATTATCAAAGCAACTGGCTAGCAGATACAAACTGAGTATCTGCTACATGTAAGGCACTTAAGATAGGTGTTTTTTTGGGGGTGGGGGATTGGGAGTAGGAAATCATACCCCTAACCTCAAAGAGTTTCAAACTGTGGTGGGGAGAAAAGGCATACATTAAAATATAATTATGTAGGCTTCCTAGTCCAAGGCAATGCTAATAGAACTGTACTGTCCTCAAATATACCAATGCACCTTGCCTGAATACAGCCAAAAATATATTAAATATAAAATTATCACTTTTGCTCTCCACAATTCTACCTAATCTTCTATAATTCTATCCAAACTATATGACAAATAGAACTTCTGTTTCTGTTTCTCATATAGTAATACTGTCTTCTACTAAACATTCAAGCTACCTTAGCAAGAAGTGTTTTAGAGAAAAATTTTAGAAACACTACTACACTAGTATATACATGACTCAACTACAGAGTATGTTTATATCACTTACCATTTAACATCAAAAGATTGTCAGTCCCTGGATGAGGATAGCTCAATCGACCTTTGGAGGGAGGAAGAAATTATGAGATATTGAGGAAATAAAAGGATAGTTAATCTTTTAAAATAGTTATCTTGAGAACTAAAAAGAACAATATTTAATTTGAAGTCCATTAGCTAGAAATTTCTTTGATCAGAGTTAAAGAAAATTTTTATTTTAAAACTCAAATCATAAGATCACAATATGCTGTAGAAGTAACACCAACAAAATAAAGCCACTTTGTTTCCTGAAATCCAGAAATAGTGCCAATGCTTTAGTCTTCTCTTTTCAAAAGATGCCATGTTTTACTCAATCTATTTCCTAAGTAGCCTGGAATTTTTATCTACTTGAATTACTTTTCCAAAATGTAAAAAACAAAACAACAACAACAAAACTGGGATAAAATAATGGCATATACCTAAATGACCCAAAAAAAGCAACTATGACATTTAAAAGTAGTAAGTGAATGGAAAAAAAAATTTTTAGTCTGCCATGGGGTTCTACTACGTACAATTATGCAAAAATGTGTCTACAAACAAACGTTACTGAGAAATTCATCTGTCTACCAAGTGATATAGGAAAATAGAACATTTGTGAAACAAGACAATATAAAATAAAGTTGAAATACATAAAACCAAATATTTTCACATTATCTTTGCTGAACAGTTCCGTAATTATAATACTTATTTTCTTATAATTACCCAGCATTTACTTGTTGGAGGTGTGGGAGGGAAAAAATCTTTAAGCCTGAATTTATATGACAAACTGGCCAATGATTCAAAGATGAAAGCAATTAAATTCTAAGTCTCTTACAGTTTCAGACTATTTTTTCAGACCTATCTAGGAAATTGCTAAAATGTAAAGCCTGTTATGTATCCTAGCAACTACTTTAGGAACAGAATTTCATGATCAATAGGAGAGCATTTAGTATATTGCTCTCAACTACATAATGTTTAAAATGGTTACAGTAAGGGGAGTTTTAAAGTGCACAATATATATCAGTACTATGGGTGGTCTAGGAGATTTAAATTATCTTATGGTGTATCCAAATCAGTAAAGGATATTTGCTGCAATATGGAATTAAGAAATCTGATCATGTACGAAAAGGAAAAGAAGAGTTAAAACACACACACACACACACACACACACACACACACACACACACACGTCACTTCTATTTGGCTGTAGGAAACTTAAATCAGATACGTAACTTAGTGGCAAAACACCTTTTTAAACTAAAGCATAGTAATATCCTCTGAAGGACCTACTCACTATCTCTTACTTTTTATCCCAGTGGGATTCAGTCTATGCCCAACAGTTGACCTCTTGATTCAAAACATTTTCCTTAGGCTCAGAAGGTATAAATAATAAACAGACAAATTCATAGTAACAGCAACTTAGTTTCCATTTTGCCAGTCTGAGAGGTGATGCCTCTCTTCTATATGGAACAGGAAAAAGAAAACGGAGTTCTGAAAACACTTCTGTACATATCATCTCTCCCTTACTAGACTATTAACTTGTTGAAGCCAGGGTCAAATCTTCCTTTCTATTTCCCACTATCACATATCCCTAGTACACACCTGATGCCTAATAAATATTTGATAATGTTTATTTTGGCTGCAGGACATGAATGAGTGGAGGAAAAAAGAAGGAAATCACTTTTCCAGCCTTTCTAGCCATAAAATAAACACTTCATAGGACTTTATTATTTTGTTTAAAATGCTGCTACAGCTCAAGTGAAACTATGCCTATTTATATTGCAAGTGGCCAGAATTGCACTGCGAAATTAGGAAAATTATAAAGTCATTTGATATTAAGTTCCCCCATTAAAAAGGGAGGCAGCATGATATACTAGAAAGTATATTCAACTAGGATTCATGACCTAGGTTTTAGTCACCTGAGAAAAAGGACAGATTAAGTGATGTCTAAGATTCCTCTTAGCTCTAAAATTCTAGGATTTATTAGTTCTATTTTAGTTCTATCTTGAAATGAGAATAAAACTCTTGACTTTATGGGAACTGATTTGGCTACCAGTCAATTTCTTCAAAGTTAGGTTCTGGAAGGTGAGTATCTCATAGGAATAAAACCATTACAATGAACAAAACATTAAGCAGCAATAAGACAAAGCTAATTCGTTATTTTCACTGCCAGCACCACTTCAAAAGTATACTGACTGACAAATCAGTTGATACTAAATGATTCTCCACATTTTGCTCAAGTTACAGATTCTTATTTGCAAATAGGTATTTTTCTCCATATAGGCCTAAATACTATTAAATACCAGAACACATACCAATAATCTGTATGTGGAAAAATACACTTCAAAAGCAAATAGCCAATGGCTTTTCTTATTTTGGGATTACAGAAATCACTACTGTCAGTAAATAAATGGCAATTTTTTGGTTGCAGATGTCTTAAATTTCTTTTTTTTTTAATTAGCTGGTATTCAGATGTTTCATTAAACTCTTATTGCCAAGCATGCCACTATAAAAACTGAGAAACATCAGGTAAGTTAACATTCTGAAAAGACTCTTTCTAATTCATACAGGCACACTGCCAGGTACTGAAACTTGTTGAATGCTCACAAAAGTATAAACATTTTTGTGATTCAAGCAACTCCTGACTCAAGAATCAAAAGATGAAATCGTTCTTTTCAACTCTGATGACCATTTCACACACAGAAGCCTATCTTAGTGGTGGTTCCTTCTCCAAATTCATTACTACCAAGGAGGAGAAAGTAATACACAATTATAAATACCAATGACATGAAATTTAACTTTTGTTAAAGTAACATTATCTACTGTGAAAATACTGTAACTTATTCTTAAAACTTTTTTATTTTCCATATTTGAAACAATTTTTAGAAGAATCATAAAATCTTAGCACTGGAAGAGATCCAGTCCAATCTAACAACACCATATTGGTAGATAACCCTCTAGTGCCAGTTACAACACTTGCAATGACATTAGCTCACATTAGTCTACTGTTGAATCAATTGATCACACCAGTCAACAGTCTGTTGTTGAATAGCTAGGATCTATGTCTATCTGAAGATGATTTATTGGGGGGAGAGCGGGAAATCAATCAACAAACATTCATTAAGTGTTACTATATGCCTAATATTGTGCTAGGTATGCAGGATACAATTACAAGTGTCATAATCCTTGTCTATACAGAGCTTACATTCTACAGTGGGGAGACAAGTTTAAACACAGACAAAGTAGTAAACGGAACGGAGCAGTGGGGAGGAACACTACTAACAACTGGAGGCCTCAGGAAAAGGTTTGAGACAGTAAGGAGAATTTGAAGTGAGACTAAGGTTCTAAGAGTTCTGTAGAAGTGAATAGGCAGAGTATTGGGGTGGGGGATGGGGGCAGGGCAGGAGCTATACAAAGCCACTAGAGAGGAATATAAAATGTCCTATACGGGGTACGGGAAGAAATAAATTTTCTAATAAAGTGATAATTATCACACTAATAAGCCTTTATTCTGATTCTTTTACACGTTTCTGGGAAAAACAACAACAAAAACTAGGAAAGACAGAACCCTGAATTCTCATTGTTTGACTGAATAATTCTTTTCTTTTCCCAATTATTTCCTCTAGCAATCCCAGTACATGTTCCAAGTGTCCTCAAAAATCAGCTTATTAACATTTGCTGACTCCAATGAAATTCCCACGAGCCATGACAAGAGAAGTTCTCATGTTTAATAGAGCCAATCTAGCCACACTTGCTTTTCAGCTTTTCAGATAAGGAAACTTAAGAGTGGTGATTCATGAAGGTCACACAATGAATTTGTGTCAGAATTAAACTAATCCCTAAATAAATCTTGTGAAATAGAACTCACAAATATGAAGTCTTCACCTCTCTAAACCACTAAGAAAACAGTGTTTCCTCAAGTAAAAATACCTAATATTTCTTCCTTACAATACCGTATCAACATTCAATTATAAAGCTCAAGAACTTAGGTGGATGCTTCTTGTGTCTGACTACATTCTATTTTCTATTCAGCCTCCCTCCTGGATCCCAATAGAAGAAAATATGGCATGTAGCTTAGATCAGCTTTACTCTTCAATAGATGTACTCAGAGTCAAGGCAGGGTAGTCATTTTTGACCCTGTATAACCACATTTTCTACTCCTGATATATGACTCCCTTAAAGTCTAAGAGCATTATCATACAAAAATATTAAATACCAAAAGGTCTCATACCTGCTCTTTTCCTGGCTCCACACAGACGGGTTTTCTTTGTCTAATAAAAACGCAATCCTACCTTCCTTTTCATAAAATTCAACCTTAATACCTTAATACTTGATCCATAATGTTGTATGTTCTACCTAATTATTTACAAATATGTTAATTTTTAAGTTCCATTTTCAATGCCAGAAAATACATAAAGAACTAACAAATAAGACTTAGTAATTATGAACAGCTCTACATTTTTCTTCTTCTATTTAAATCCTATTCTGATGCCTCACAGTGGTGTGGAATTGGCCCTGGATTCCTGAAGGCTATCCCATAAAAGCAAAAACTAGGAAATTCTACTCCAAGAAGGAAAAGGCTGGTGATGGATGAATATCTGTCATATGAAGACCAGCCTAGAGATCCAGAGAAACTTCATAACAATTGATTATACATTTTTTGTCCACAGAAACATTCAAAGACTGTTTGCAATTTGTATTCATGGGAGGAAGGGGAATGAATGGAATGAGCATTTATTAAATGCTTACTATGTGCCAGTCACGCTATGCTTAATGCTTTATAAATATTATCTCATTTGACCCTGATAATAACCCTTCCTTTTCCAAAAGGCTTTCTGACCTCTCTGGCTTCCTAAAAGTCCCAACTAAAATCCTACCTTTTACTGGAAGCCTTCCTTAACCTCTCTTAATTCATTGCTTTCCTTCAATTAATTATTTCTTATGGGTCCCGTATATAGCTTGCTTTGTGTATATTTGTTTGCATGGCCTTTCCCATTAGGCTGTAAACTCCTTGAGGACAAGGACTGTCTTTTGCCTCTTTTTGTACCCTCAGTGCTTGATTGAGATAGGTGTTATTTTAAAGTTTATAAAATTGACAAAGGTTAAGTAACTCACTGAAGGTCACACAGTGTCTGAGACCATATTATAGATTCAGACTTTAGGCCTGTATATACTGTACCACCTAACTGCCTCTAACCAAATCATGGATTTTTTCTTAAAGTTACAGACATTATTTCAGTTAAGCTTCATAATAATAACTCTGTCCAATAATTTTATTATATACTTTACAAATGAAGAAACAAAAGCAAAGGGAAAATTTAAGTGACTTTTCTAAGATTACAGCAATGACAAATCTTGAGCTACAACTTATAGATCCAATACTTTCTCTACAATACTCTCTATATGCTTTTTAGAACACAAAAATATCACTGAAAAGAATACATTTTCTCAACTACTTATCTAAGATTTATTATTCCAGCAAAAGATTGTATCTGATTCACAGAATAAAAACAAGAAATGAAAAGGGAAATGTTAGTTATTTCTGACTTATGTAAACTGATGGCTGTAATAACGATAATTAAAAACGGAATTTCAAAAAAACTTAGTGGTGATACAACATGCTTAAAAATCTGCTGTTAGGAGCATGGTGATCAATTTTGTATATAGCTAATATAAAACTGTTCCACATGCCTAAGGTAGGAAAAAATCTCAAGACCCCAGTCATTACAGATGCTATGAAGTCCTTAAAATTCCAAGGACTTTTTTAATTTTAATTTTTCAAATTTTCTAAATGCTTTAAGAGGGCATATTTCATATTTGATAATATAATTGCAATAATTAGAATGATGGGGAATTCTGCAATCAGTGCTGTATAAAGAAATTTAGTAACTAAATTCAGATTTCTTTAGCTAGCCTGTCTTTTATTTTAGAGCTTTCAAATGAATAAAGCTGGACTTGAAAATTACTTAAAATTGAACTTTATCTGGTCAAACTTACAAACTGACAAATGAGACATCCATTCTACTAAAAATAAACAAAAGGAATAAGGCTTTTTAAAGTACTTTTTAAAAATTTTGATGACTATTAGAAGCACTTCATAAAACTATTTTATTTACTTTAAATCATATTTTGTTAACTTTCTCTAAAACTACTGATGTTCCTACTAACAATAAAAAAATTTCAGATTCTTCAAGTTTTATTTTAGGATACACTAAGTTCTAGCTAGGATGAATATGTATACTAGGTATACAAATATATTTTGATCAATAAAGAACATATTGATGGGGGAGGGCAGAGTTAAAGGACAAAAAGGAGGAAGAAAGGCAGAGGAAAAACCACTATGGCTTCTTTTAAATGTTTACCTGAGAGAAAATTTTCTTTGAGGAAAAAAATTTTTTTTAACATAAGGAACATATAAATATTTCTAACAAGAAGCATTTCTTTCTTACTTAGAATCTGGAAGATTATTCTTGAAATCTTTTCTTCATTTTCATAGACAAACCCTATTTCCAATGCAAGAAAGTAAGGAATATTGTATTTCTTTTTGAAGAAAATAATTTCACAAGCAATGACATCTTTAACTTGGCACTTTAAAAAACTGCCACTAAGAGGCAGCTAAGTGGTGCAGTGAATAGAGCTCTGGCCTTGGAGTCAGGATGATCTGAGTTCAAATCTGGCTTCAGACACTTGACACTTACTAGCTGTGAACCTGGGCAAGTTACTTAATCCTGACTGCCTCACCAAAAAGCAAAAGAGCAAAAACAAAAACAAAAAAACTCTGCCAATAAGAACTTTTAAAGTGCTGTTCTGTTTTTTCTACTTCAGGTACAAATGGAGAGTCTATCTTGGTCTTAAAACTGAAGGCTAAATGATATTAAGCTGGGGGCTGAAACTGGGCCAAAAGTTCCTCATGCATACTTAGCAAATTTAGATGAAAAACAGAGCAGCCTCAAAGCAAATACAACTAGAAGCCTACATACAGTGAGTGAAACTTAATGGCAGATTGCCTACAGTTCAGTGTAACAATTCAAACTGTTTTAAAAATCATAACGTAGGAGGGGTAACTCTTCTACTAAACTATCACAGAACAAGTATTCCTAGACCAAAGGTTCTTAACCTGAAGTCTGTGAGCTTGTTTTAAGAAATATTTTGCTAAGTGTATTTCAATATAATAAATTTCCTTTGAAATCCTATGTTCTTTACGTCTTAAAAACCCCGTTATTCTGAGAAGTGGTGCACAGACTTCACCCAACTACCAAAAGGGCTCATGACACAAAAAGGTTAAGAACTTCTTGGGTCAAATTATATGAGAGTTGTCAAGAACAACTATTCTGGGGCTGTCAATTTCCTAATAAATCTGTCCCCTTCTTCCCCTCCAAAAAGAACTATTCTACTCATCTGCTGCTTTTTAAGACCTCTTCTCTTTTAGCTCCATCCCCCTACTTCTCTCATAAAAGACTGAAAAAAAGTCCATATGGTTTGTAACAAGAAATATGCTCTCCATTATTCTTTCTAAAGGTTGGAATAATAGAAATTTTTTTTACTTGTCCAATATTGACATTTATCAATTATGATACTGACTCCATATTGCATCAGAAATTCCAAGAGCTTTCTTTTGTACAGCTACTAAAAAGATAAAAAGTAGTTCTCTAAATTCTTCTCTAACATAATGTTCTGGCTACTGATTTCCATTGATTATACAGTATACAGTAAACCCAGAACAAGTGTAAGCTTAAAAAAAAATTAATCTACTAGGACTATGAGTAATGAGGATTTGTAGTCAATAAGAGACAAAATTCTAAAATACAGTTACCAAAAGGAAGAGAATTACCACTGGCACAGGTCTAAGTAAAACCACTTACATCTCTTGAACTCCTTACAATAAGGCAATCAGGATGGCAAAGAACCTCTTTGCAACCAAAACTAAGACAGAAAGAATGTGGAAAATAACTAGACAATCTGGTCTATCCAAGATAGGATTGAGATTTTAGGGTAAAAACTATACTGATCTCTAGCATGAACCCTTTTACAAAAAAAAAATTTAAGATAACCCATTGTCTAGATTCATATTTCTGTGTTAAATTACAGCCACTTCCAGCTCATATTTATATAATGTTGGCAAGGTTTACCAACAGCTCTGTGAAAAAATAGTATATATTCCCATTTTTAGAAATAAGGAAGCAGACTCAAAGAGGGTAAATGTCAGAACTAGGACCTCAAGCCAGGCCTTCCAATTAAGTTCAGGGCTCTCTTTTCTCCAAACCATATTACCTAAGTACATCACAGAAAATATGCTATGGGCCTATAGATTATAGGCTGGGGTCTGAAAAACTGGATATATTTTACTTCTACTTTCTCTTATAAATTTTGACGAGAACTTTTGTGTGTGTGTGTGGGTGTGATGGGAAAGGAACAAAAATAAAAAGAGAACAAGGAAACGTAAACGTTATGACATGTCAGGAGAGTGAAATTAAGATGACTGAGGGGATAACTTAAATTCTGAATGTGCTCATATACTAATATCTATAAGGCTGAAATCTAGAAAAGTAACTATCACTATAAAAACTTGTTTTAAGCCATTTATTTCACCTTCAGAGTATGCATGGTGACCTCTTAAGAGTAGGATTTCCCCCAAATCATAAAAACACTATTTAAGTATATTAAATGTGCATCAGAATAAATCTAAAAGCAATGTGGATAGAAAGCTGACCTCAATGTCAAGAAGACCTGGGTTCAAGTTCTGCCTCTGATATATACTAGCTATGTTATGTTATCACACACAAGTTACTTTAGCCCCTCAGTGACCCCAGGCAATTCTCTAAGACTAGAAGGTGCAGAGCAGGTACTGATCTGGATTATTAAAGAGAGTTTCTTTGCTGGGATTTTCCTATACCAATGAAATCATAGGTCCAGTCCTTATCTCAGTCCCTTTCTTTGTCCCCTTCTCCTCCTCACTCTCCCCACACATTGCCACCAACTATGGTCAATATAGATGTTGGAATTTAGGTTTACCTTATAGAGGCTGCATAAATGCTTATAAACCTTAAGAGAAACTTTAAAAGTCAGTTTTGATGAGACTTTTGTTTGGTTACTTCTGAACTTTTGAACTATTTAGCACTTATGTTCTTATAAAGAACATTCTTACAAAGTGGCAATGTCATATTTTATGACAACTTACCTTTAAGAGGATCATGCTCTGCTCTCATAATATCAATGAGGGAGTTTTCCAATGAGTGCATGTTCAAACTGTCATACATTCGACTTCGATCCTAGAAGAGAAAAAGGAGCTTCAGTGCTTATACATGATTTGATTCAGTAAAAATTCATAGAGCACCTACTACTAAAAGGCACAGCAAACAACAGCTTACTTTTTCAAGAAAACAAAGCTATCCAATCATTTTCTATGAATGTGACAGAATTTAAAATTATGCTATTTTAAATTTTAAAGTCTTATTTTATTTAAAATTACACATTTTACATACACATACTTCTCTAATACTTGAAGGAAAATATATTACTATTGTTGCTGCCAAATTATCAATTACATCAGTGATTTCAGTTTCATTAATAGTATATCACATGAATTTTTTTTCAGCTACTTAATCTATACTGCTACCAGTCTCAAACATTTCTTAATTAGAAATAATGGTAATACTTTTATCAATTCATTACTTAACTCTAGAATGTCTCTAAAAAACACAGGTCAGTGACACTAATTTTTTAAAAATATACTTTTGTCTCAGTCCTTACATCAGTGTAATAACTGTAGTATTATTTAAATATCTATGAAGCAACAGTTCAGTTTGATTTGGCATTTTGAATAGAATTACATTTCATAATAATGAATGTATTATGATCTCTTATGAAATATAAAATATATTAAATTATGAAATGTATGAAAAGCAGTATAAAACCTAACAAAATACATAAAATAGCATACTCAGAAGTCAATTACAATCTCACACAGTCTCTCTTGTTTCCACCATTTCTAAAACAGGAAAAGAATATTCATACCATTCTTGCCTTACTAGCTCTTTGTTTCCAAGGGCAGTCTCAGAATTAACACAAAGAGATAAGATATTAAGTCATAAGGAGTTCAGTGGATGAAATGAATTCATTACTACAAATATGTACATGCCACACACACACAGACACACACCACCTCATAACACATACCCCCTCTTAAATAGAAACAGACTCAGATAGATCAACAAATAAATCTTTAGGAAACATATCAATTGAGACTCCAAATTCGAAGTGAAGTTAGAGGCCACCTAAATTCAACCAGTAACTGAAAAAGAATCTGCTCTACAACATACTTAAGTGAGTGGGCATCCACTTTTCACTTGACTGTTTTCCAGTGAGGCAGAATTTATTACCTCTTGAGGAAGTCCATTCTACTCTTGGCTAAGTCTAATTCTTAAATTTTTTATCTTCCTTGCATGAAGCCTACAGATTGCCTCTTTACAGTATCTACCCATATTTCCTACTTCTGCCCCCTGGAGCCAAAAAGCAAAGTCTTAATATCTGTCTGTCTCTCTCTGTCTCTCTCTCTCAAACTCCTCCTTGCCCTAAGCCCAAGTCTTCTCTTCAAAGCAAAACAATATGTGCTGGGTTTAAAACATTCTAGGATCTTCAAAAGATTCTAGACACAAGATAACAGAGAATAATAAAGAAGAAAGTAAGAGTTTTAGCTCAGTATAGCCTCCCTAAGCAAGATAAGAATAAAAGGGGATTGGGGAGGAGGGGGCAGGGGGAGGAGAAGGGAAGGTCTAACCAAACTAAGGTCTAACCAGCTAAGTACGGACCTAAACTTGTAGGGCTCATCTGTAATCCAGTTGTATGGAAGCAGAAAAAACCACAACATAGCAAAGTACAATTTCACTTCTAGGGAAATAAACTCACTTACTCTTCCTTCCCTCAGAATCAAATGAACAAAGGAATCTTAGAACATCTTTCTGTGACAGGAAGGAAAATGAATTGATAACCTGGGGCAAATCCCTTTCTCTCACTTTCTGCTTCTGATAGTGAAAGGGTGACATTATGCCTCTAATAATAGAGGTACTTATATATATTATCTTATTGCCTTAGAATAGAGCCAAGAAACTTCCAAGTCTATGGGCTTGAGATGGCTTTTCACTTAATTTCTTCTGGCCTACAGTACAGGTACCAAAAAATACTTTCATTTTTTGATGATAATGAAAATACCCCAAAAGCCTTGAGCAATAATATACTAAAAGGCCCAAAGATGACATTATTCCATTAAGTCTATTTCTATGTTTATTTGTCTCTTTCTGCTTGTCTGTGTCTATGTATACATCACCTGTTTCCTCCCTCCTTACTTTCCTTACTGTGACCTTCCATGTTGATTGGTCATAAGATTTAACTAATATATTTTTTTTAAAAAAATTAGTTTACTTTCTCTACTTATAACTTTGAAAGCAGATAACCTAATTTTACTAATGCTAAACCACTTTTAAATGAATTCCAAAGTTCTATAATGGCTCCAGGAAATTTAAGTGTGTGTGTGCCTTCTCCCCCCCAAAAAAAAATCTGTTAAAAAAAGTCCTTTGAGGAGAACATTATCCTGTAGTAAAAAATGTTTTCCATGCCATTTTTTTGAAATTATTTATTAAACTTTCAATCTTTAATGCAAAAAATCTACAATACTGTATTACAGAATAGGTGTTTAATAAATGTTTGAGTACTAACTTCTCATTCTGCCTACTGCTATCATGAAATACATTTCTATTTCATGAATGGAACAGTCTAAGAAACCACTCACACTCATCTAGAGAAAACAAGACAAAGATTTTTATATACTTAATAGCCTAGGGACTATTTGACCTGTGCTAATGAGAAAAAAAATTAAAGGATTTTTGGGAAACAAAAAGAAACAAAACAAAACAAAAAAAACCCCTGTCAATTAATGGGGTAAATTCAGAACCTCTACAACTACATTTAATATAGCCAGGAAAATATTTATACGTATCTTAATTTCTATACCAAATAAAATAGAGATGAAGGAAAAGACAAAAATTTTGAGTAGTAATACAAGAAAGCAGCTGTCAAAAATCCTTCCCATATGGGGTTGTGTGTGTGTGTGTGTGTGTCTGTGTCTGTGTGTGTGTGTGTGTGTGCCCATGCACAAATAGTATTAAGGGCAATGTTGCTTAATTCTTAAAACATATAGATAATTGTACTACTCAATCACCTACTGAAAATGAATTACTTTTAAAAAGGACACAGCCTCTCAAAATCTCATACCACATTTTCAGTTCTGTAGTAATTAAGTATTGTTATGAAACATTAAACTTGTTTTGTGGGAATCTGTAACCTGGTTAGCTACAACCTAATTCCTGAATCGAGAATATGCTTTAGAATGTTCTATCTAAAACTATAAAGTTGGGACCAGGCTGAACAGAGATATTTTCATGTCTCTGAGTCCATCTATGTACTCTGTGACCCTGCTGAGTGAGGTATTCCAAGTGTCATCCCATTTTATATATGAAGAAAGTAGGACTGAGGGAGTAAATGACTGCTCACTATAATAAAGCAAATGAGCTGGGATCTGAACTTAGGTCTTCCAATTCCAAGTTCACTCATTCTGCTTATCATACTGCCCCTCAGATGATGGTAATGAAAGGTTGTCATGTAGAAAAGAAATTAGACTTGATCTGTTGGGCCTGAGGCAGAGCCAGAAGCAATGGGTTAAGTTGTAAAGAGGTCAATTTAGGCTTTATGTAAAAACAACAACAACAACAACAACAACAAAACCCTTCCTGACAATTAGAGGCTGCTCAAGAGGTTGGAAGCGCCTCTTTCCTGGGGATCTTCAAGCAGAGGCAGGATAGTTACCACATACTGGGTATCTTAAGAGTGGGAGATTCCTTTCATGTACAGGATGGGATTATATTACCACTGACTTTCCTTCCCACCTTCAATTTCTGTGACTATGCCCAATATGATGTAATTCTACTATGTAATGATTTTTAGTTGATTTTCATGTTTATGTAATGATTTTTAGTTTAGTTTCATTAAGTGTTATACGTAATATCTTCAAAAAAGGTTGGCCAGTAATGTAGTTAGAACAGTGGCTAGCAAGACAGCAAACTGAACTGGTACCAATGAAATCTAAAAACACCTAAAGAAGGCCTCTTAACATGATCCTCTATAGAAGACATTTGGGAGAACATGGACAAGAATCACACCAGTTAAGACAGTGTAGATGGGTTACAAATGGAGGGAATTCTCACAGTAATGAGAAAAGTGATTCACTAAAGCACTGAAATTATAAGGGATTCCATATGACATCTTTTAGGATGGGAGAGTGATGTCACTGAAATAAAGTGTAGCCTAGCTAGCAAATTACACCAATTAATTTTCTTATCTCTAAAGTCTCTATCTTAATCCTACAATAATGTCATGAAAAAAGGGGGGAAGGTAATATTTCTAAGCATAAACAGTAAGTACTTAAATATGTGAATTGTTGTTTAATTAAATAGGATCCAGACTATTAGTGACCTAGATCATATAAAAAAAGAAAATTATTATCAAAAAATTCAAAGAAGGGGTTTAGATATCAAGTTGACCTCTACAGTGATCATATCTCAGTGTTTCACATTTTTAAGGGTAAACACGACTAAATAAAAGCAATTTCAGAAAACATCAAGTTTCATGTATGTGAATATGATAGCTAAAAGAATACAATATACTCTAAATTACAAATTAGGGACATAAAAATGTAAGACTATGCTTAAAGAAAATTAAACTGTTCATATAGACAATAGGTAACTGCCTACCTCTGATTAGCAAAAAAAAAAACCCCTAGAAGGTCAGAGAATTTGACTCAGAAAACACACAATTTAAAATACAAGCAATGTACTGTGATTCATAAGACCAAAGAAGATATACCTAGTACAGACCTTAGCAGAAAAGTGACAGGTTTCTGTAGTCACCATTTATTATGGAAATCTTGAGTAGGTTCAGAGAGAAGCATCATAATTTGTTAGAGGGGCTAGAAAGTATATCTTACGAAGGTCACATCAACTAAGATTATTTGGCCTAAAGAAAAGACAATATACTGAATTTTGTGACACTAAGGACTAAATAGTTAAATTATATAATGTTTCTGAAAAGTATGTAAAATAAATTTTTGTGAAATGACTTCTCAGAAATGGTTTCCATTTTTATTGCAATTCAACTAGCATCAATAATTTAGCTTTAAAGTTAGCTTCTCAATCTGCCAAATTAATTTAAGGAAATTACT